ATCGGGGATTATATTTTGCGCGCTATGCGGCAATGGGAGCAGTCAAACCACAAGAGAAATACATGAACGAGAAATTGGGCGGTGACTTTATGATTAAAGTATGGGTATGAGGGGGGGGCGGGGGGCGGGGGCGCCGGGGGGGGAGATTTAGAAATGTTTGACAGTTGTTGACAAGTGGGGAAAAAGGGGTGGGGGGGGGGTTAGATTAGTTGACGTCAACAATCATGTTTTCTCTATTAAAATTTTTTACCTTAAAAGTGACTGGTTATTACATTATTTTAACAAATTTTAATTTAATAGGTGAAAATTAAAATAGCTTATATAATGTTCAGTTGTAAATAAAATGTGAACTTGTTGTTGAACAAGCTAAAGATGCAATAAAATGTGAACTTGTCAGCAAAAAGACAGGGGTAACTTGTTCAACCCAGAGATAGGGGTAACCTATTCAACCATAAGGCTGGGGTAACCTGTTCAACCCAGAGATAGGGGTAACCTATTCAACCATAAGGCTGGGGTATCCTGTTCAACCCAGAGATAGGGGTAACCTGTTCAACCCAGAGACATGGGTAACCTGTTCAACCAAAAAACTGGGGAAACCTATTCAACCATAAGACGGGGGTAACCTGTTCAGCCCTAAGACTGGGGTAACCTGTTCAGCCCTAAGACTGGGGTAACCTGTTCAGCCATAAGACTGCGGTAACCTGTGCAGCCCTTAAACTTAGGTAACCTGTGCAGCCCTAAGACTGGGGTAACCTATTCAACCATAAGACGGGGGTAACCTGTTCAGCCCTAATACTGGGGTAACCTGCTCAGTCCTAAGACTGGGGCAACCTGCTCAGTCCTAAGACTGGGGCAACCTGCTCAGTCCTAAGACTGGGGCAACCTGCTCAGTCCTTACTTGTCGATCATCCGCCGGTCCAACTATTATAAACGCACCCACCGGTGAGTGACGTGTCATGTTTTTCTAGTTTAATAAATTAATTTTAAGTTGTGTTCAATCACACCCCCAAACCTCACATCCCACACACACCAGCTAAATCTACACATCGACGTTCTGTGAGGTGGGTGGGGAAAAAAACACCACCACCCTCGGTCATGCACGCAATTCTTGCTCTCTGTGACTGCTGTGAAAGCAAAGAAAATTCTTGCACACTGCACTAAATCCATGCTGAACACATGTGTTGAAAAACGAGTACACCATCATTATGTACATGGACAGTGTTGTGTTTTCCTTTCGGACTGGTTTCCAAAATTTAATGTGTGCCTTCAATAATGTGATTTGCAGAAAGAAATAGAAATGTGCGCTGGTTCATCGCCGTGAACGCGACCAGTCATCAGTTAATACAGTTTTAATGCGTGATCCATTTGTCCTATAATACTGATTTGGTTCTTGGTGAGCCAAGGCAAATTTTACTAATAGTTTCATTGCTATTTTTTTAAGTCAAAACTATTATTGTTTCCCCCATGATGCGTTTTATTATGAAAGTGAATTATATTTTTAAATAAATATATTAATTATGATATACAGTGCTTGTCTTGAAAACGTATGGTTTTCTCTATAGATAGAATCTATAGAATAGTCATCGTATGTGACCTTCTCTGACAAGAGCGCAGTTTACGACTTAACAGCGCAGTCTACGACTAACAGCCGATCACTAATTTGGTGTGGTACACAGCAGATGAACTTTTTCTCATAGTCAGACGCCGCACGGCCCATTCAACTGTTTTAAACGCTCTTGAACTTGACCTAGAATTAATCTGAACTATATTTAATTTTTTTAAATGTGTAAACCAGAGGTGTCCAACCTGTTAAAGCTTGTCTAGGCCGCATGTGAAGAAGCCGGGTTGTTTTGGGGCCAGCTCATATACCGGTATAGTTAACATAATTAAGTAATTACTAACTTCATTCATTCATTTTTTTTTTTTAAATTACTAAAAGTAAAATACAAGGCAGCAACGTGAAGTTGGTGAGGTCTTTGCAATAGTTTTTGACTCTCATTTTCAATATTTGGTTCGAGGGAGGGCATTGCCATTCAGTGAGTTCTCAAACCACTCAGACAGTTTGGCTCAAGTTTAACTCTCCGTGTTCTTAGCCCTTGATAATGGCTACTTACAAATGTAAGTGCTTCCAAATGTAGGTGCTAACAAATGTAGGTGCTTTCAAATAGCACCATTTCAATTGGGATTCTTATAAAGCGCGTCACTTGAATGTTATAGTTTTGTCACGTAACTTTAGTTCACCCATTGCCGCCCCGATTTTTCTAGTGCCTCTAATATAAACTGCCAATTTGCCTGTATTAGTAGCAGTGGCGTAGCGAGGGTGTTTGGCGCCCGGGGACAAGATTCGCGCCCGGGGACAAGATCCATTTTAAAGCGCCCCCTTTTCTTTTTTTTCAACTCTCAAACCCATTATTTTTACCAATAAATAATATCAAATCACATTTTGGCGCCCCTAACTAGCTTGCGCCCGGGGACATCTGTCCCCCCCTGCCCCCCATCGCTACGCCTCTGATTAGCAGCACCAGTAATTACGCCTGTCGGCAAACATACAATATAACATTTTCAGCTGTACTCTCCAAACCATTTTTTAATCATATATTTTCCTATTCATCAACTCAGCTTTTACAATAGAATCCGCTTGAGTTTTTCCTTTAAAAAATTGTTGAGATGATACACCTTTTTATTTTAGTTTTTAGTATTATTAATGGCATTTTAAGTAGCAATCTCATTAAGTTTTTAAGTTTACGTCTTACGATGTCATGTTAGTTCACATTTTTTAGCGTTTTGGGCCGCATGCTGTCCGCGGGGCGCGGGTTGGACACCACTTATGTAAACTAGAGTTGATATCCTCATGCTAGAAAAACATTTCATTTTTGTAACACAAATAAAGGTAATCACTCAAAATGGGATTTGGATATCTAGACTGTAAATTTAATATTTTTTTATGTCTTAAAAGTAATAGACTATAATAAATGCTATATATATATATTAGTTGATTTTCTAAAAACAGTTTTCAGCCAAGTCATCTGCTGTCAATGGATTTTATCTTCGAACCTCTTTGTGGGAATGATTCGTTTTGGGTAGAGTATGAAATATTGTGTTTATATGAGCCATCCATATATTTCGTGCGCAAAAAACATGTTTTTGTTCATGATTCATGCCCCATCAATGTTGCAACCACACATTTTTCATTTTATCCATGCCGTACGCAAAACTTTTAAATCGAAAATATACACCACCCCCTCATCTATGCAGACGTAATATTTGGATGCCCACATATTTTTAATTACCTTTTATACTGTTAATTTTAAGTCTTCGACTGTGTAACTATGATGAGACAACGCCAATGGCAATTGAATATGACGTACAACACAAACTGGTTGCTTAGGAATGGAAAAAAAAAAAATCGGAATAGTTTTTCTGATGAAAAATGTAAAAACTATCGCCGAAGTAACGGAATAAATTTATTAAGATAACTTTCTAGAACTAGAGTAGCCCCCCCCCCCCCCCCCCGATACGTCACTGCACACTTTTTATTTCCCGCCCATGAACTATACTAAATATTCTGATGTCCCAACCACGTTTAATCCGAATATGTACCACGCCATGTTTAAATTGAGACGATTTCAAGTTCCCAAGTGAAATGAAAATATTCGACTGCGCACCACACGCAGCTGTGCGCACCAAACGCAGTTGTGCGCACCACACGCAGCTGTGCGCACCAAACGCAGTTGTGCTATTTCAAAGGGAAAGAAAAAAGGATCATTTAGCGTAGTTATCGGGGATTATATTTTGCGCGCTATGCGGCAATGGGAGCAGTCAAACCACAAGAGAAATACATGAACGAGAAATTGGGCGGTGACTTTATGATTAAAGTATGGGTATGAGGGGGGGGCGGGGGGCGGGGGCGCCGGGGGGGGGAGATTTAGAAATGTTTGACAGTTGTTGACAAGTGGGGAAAAAGGGGTGGGGGGGGGGTTAGATTGGTTGCCCCCCCCCCCCCCCACCACCATATTAATCAAGTCTTAAAGTTTGGTTTAATTTGGTCTAGGGTGATGTAATGCAATTAATGGGGGAGGGGGCCATTCATAAAATGTTGAACAAAAGATTTTAACATTGATAGATATTTGTGGATACTTATTTTATTAATGCTTATTTCATGTATACTAATTTTTACAATCTATTGTCCGTTCAACTTTAACACTGTAAGGGGCCTAAGTCTCTGTTCAGTGTGTTCACTGGTTAATTAAAATTATGCATAAGGCATGCAGTCAGCGGCCCGAGCCGATGCTCTTATGACTTAGAGTTGACTTGCTCCGCTGTTGGGGGGGGGGGGGGTGGGAGGGGGGAGGGGCTGATTTCCTACTGTGCTCGTTGCTTACTTGCGATGTTAAAAATCGTGATAATTCATCAGCAGAGCAGTCATGATCATCGCACATTTAAAAATTATTATTAGCTACCACTTTGACGTACGATATAATATTTTTTTACCCATATTTAGGATACCAATCTGCTCATCAATAATACCTGGCCAGAGTTTACACAATGTTTTCAGTGGACTGCGCTCGTTTGGATGCCATGTGCTTGGATATGGTCGGTCTTCCCCATCCATTTGTGGTATATCCATTGCCGGCATCCAATGGATTTCTATAAAATACCAAGCAATAAGCTCAACAGCGCTAAAATCGTAAGAATTATTTAGTAAAGTTGTATCCCAATAAAAATGTTTGTAGTGTCTATTCAACATGAACATTTTAAATAGTTTATCCAACATTGTGTGATTATTTATCCAACTGAACATTTATAATTGAACATTCTCCCCAGGGATGGCAACTCAAAAAATGTGTTCGCAATTTTGTATGATCATTATTATTTTGAAATGACTTCGAATTCCTTTTATGATTTCTGAATCACGTGACATCTCACGTCTGCAATATAAAAGATTGTTTTGACAGGATTAGGCGCTTAGGCCATCCATAGTAGGTTAAAGTTAAAGAACACATTGCTTTTCTTAAAATTGAATACTTAAAAGACACAACTGCATTTTCATTTACTTTTTAACATTTCTGCTAAAAAAAAAACAATCTTGCCTTAGGCTAAGTTAGCCTTAGTTAAGCAGCTTAGCCTTGGCCTTAGCATTGGCATTATCATTATTATTATTATTATTACCTCTAAACTCTAAAATGTATAGTCATTATAGTCTAATTAAGTTATTAGACTACACATTTATAGAGGTCTACTGATAGAAACCTTTATAGAAGCTTATATTACATTATATTATATAGTTAAGAGAAACATTTACAGAAGTCTATTGATAGTTAGTTTAGAAACTTGAAACATTTCAGCATTCAACTGTTAACAGCATGAATCACTAATGACAATGACTAATTCATTTTAAAAGATAATACTATTAATAATAACACTACATTGTTTGATACAACAGAGGCACATACAACATATTCACGGTCAGAAGGTAATTGAGAAAACATGAACCTCCAAAATTGTATTAGTATTAGCATGTTGCCGCGACTTTTCAAAAAAGTATTTGATCTAATACTAATAGTAGTAGATATTTTTAGGTTATCCACAATTAAACCTATCAATATTGGATGTAGTAGTTTTTTTGTTGTTTTTTTGGCATTTTGATTACAAAAAACTGCTGTTTAGTCCTAATTCAATTTCTAATATAAGCATAACAATAAAATAACAATGATTTATAGGGTAATCTCAATCCCTTTCTTAGATTCTCTGCTTAACCCATCTCTAATATTAATATAGCCTGATCCTGATAATGAAAAATCCTTATCTTAGATTATATGTTCAATCCATGTGTTAGATTATCTGCCTACTTCTGATGGTGTCAAGCATCTTGAAGATATTTATAACCGTACAAGATGAAAGAAACTCCACCCCACCCCCCAATGCTGTCTATGTGTCCAGTTCAATAATGGCCATTACATATGTAAGTAGATCAAAACTTCAGTTAAATAATGACCATTATAATATATGTCAGAAAAAAAAAAAAAACAACCTAAGTTCATTTAAAGTTGGCTTATTCTGCTTTCAGATTTTAGTTGCTTATCTGAACAGATGCTCAAGAAAAGCTGGCATTGCTTCCCCTTGCGTGTTGTTCATATTTTGGATCTTAAACACAGCCTGCAGTGTGGTACCTATATACAGTTACATTGCACTGAAGGTCTGTACAAAATTTCAACACTTTGGTAAATGTTTACAAAATTAATACAAGTGATAATAGAAATTGTCAGGTTTTCATTTTGATAAATGGTCAAGTATATAAAATCCATTCATTTGAGCAAGAAATTTCAATGGTAATAAAAATGTATATCAGATTGTTTAAAACTAAGTTTGAAAGGTAAAGGGTGGCAAGGAGATAGGGGTTGGTTCCAGGAAGTTTGGAGGAGAAGGTGACAGGTTGGGGGAGAGGTGCCATGAGGATCACGCAGGTTGCCAGGAGTTTGGGGGAGAGATTCCAGGAGATTTAGGGGACAGGAGGTGCCAGGAGGAGGAGTACCCTGTAGGTTGGGATGGTTTTTTTTGTCATTAGCACCTCTACAGTTGCAGCCATATAATATATCTTTTCTCTTTAAATTCAGATCTTTATTACAGAGAACATCCAGTTTGACCTGATGTGTGTATCCTATGGATTAATCATTATCCAGTTCTTTCTGCAGTTTTTCTCTGAACCTGTCATTCTACAATATGACATTCACATTTCAACCAAGGTATGTTATCAGCATAAAGTATTATTTTATCAGCCTCACTTTTTATACTCCACTACCCATATAAGTTATATCTAAGATAGGGACATTTTTTTCTGTGCCAAAAATTCAACCTTAATCCTTTTTTTTTCATATTTCAGAAATCTAGTCCTGAAATCAAAGCATCTTTCCCATCGAAAGTCACATTTCACTGGATGACTAGGTCTCAGGATAGTTTAGTTTCTGAAACTTGAGAACCAATTTAGCTTGATTTGTAATTTTTTAAAGATTTTCAATCCGCTATAGCTATATGACAGAATCTTTCTTTTCATGTTGAATATTTAAAAAATAATTTTTATAAAAAAGCAATATTACTTGAGCATTGAACGCTCAAATTTAGTTGTATGACAAAGAGTTTTAGGCCTTTAACTATATAAAAATCAATAGAATAAATAATTAAAATCAAATAGATGATAGTATACCCTACCTGTATAAAATCTGAGAATACCTAATGTAGGCATATTATTTAAATAAGCTGAGTATTTTTATACTACAATTCCCTTGCAGCTTCATTTGGCAGGGCTACCGGAAGTCATTAACTCCTGAAGATATCTGGGAACTTCCAGATTACCTCAAGTCCCGCCATATTGTGCCAGAGTTTCAAAAGGCTTGGGACAAGGAGAAACACAAAATCTACCTAAGGATTAAGTAAATTTCATTTTCACCCATTTTATCCTCTAAATGGTGCAGCTCTGTTCTCATCTGAACTTTTTTTAATATGTAAGATATATGTGTCTTATATCTGTTGTTTCAATAGCAAGGATGTATTTCACCCATATCTGTTGTTTCAATAGCTAGCATAAATTTGTCCACTATTTGGTATTGGTCATATCTTTTAATCTGTTAATTATTGTAGATTAGAGTTAACAACATGATAGAGGTTGTTAACTACTATTGGCAGCATTCATTTTCAGTTGTTTTTTTTTTAATTTTCATGATACATTCTGATCAATCTGTGTTAAGAGTGGTACAAGTTGAATTTTACAAAGTTAAATTTATATTAAATGTTACTTTACTGAAATTACAACCAAAAAAAACAATCTTTAAAAAAAGGTAAAAATAATAATGTTCATCTTTTTCATCAAAAGTTTTTTTTCTTAATTTTTTTTAAAAAGTTTGATTAAATCAATGAATAATTTTTGTAATATTTAAGTCTGAAAATATAATCTTACTATCTAACCTTTGTTATAAAAAGACAGCTGACATCTGGTGGCCTTTATGATGACTTATCAGGGGAAACTACTCATCTTTTAAAAGTTCAGCCAAAGATGTCAAATATTCCAAAGCTCTCTCCCTCTTTGTTGAAGGCTCTGTTTAAAACTTATGCTCCAGAACTTCTTCGGGCCCATGCAATGAGACTGGGTGCCGATTCACTGCAATTTGTGCTTCCAATTCTCACAAAGTAGGTCATTACTAAGTCTCTTTAATCTTCTATAACTGTAGCTCAAGACATAACCATTCATCATGAGAATATACAAAGTGTTGCATTAGATGCTAGTGGCCAGCATTCGAATCATACTTGGGTGCCTACAGTATTTAATGATATAAAATAAAGTTATGAATTTTGAAAATAATATTAATTTAATGGACTTTTTATAATAAAATTTAAAATCCTTATTGCACCGTGGATTAAACCATGGACTGTTGTGTTAAAAATCTGAGACTTTTTTCCTTTTTAAAAATAAAAAATATTACATAATATTAGTGCATTTTAAAAGGAAATGTACAAGTGAAATTACAAGGAAATTTTACAACTATTTTTAAAATATCCTATGCATATTTTAATCCTATTTGGTTGAGCAATATCCAATTCATCCCGGTTACAATGCAACCAGCCTGGTCAAAACAAACATAGTTATTCACCCTAAAAAGTTTGATAATTTCATGCTTTTTTCATGTCATTCTAAATTAACATGCAGTATTTGATTTTGAACTTGGTAAAAATAATCAATATATTCTCAAATTTTCTAAATTATAGAAATTTAATAGATTTCTGAATTTAATAATTTTTTTATATAGTAAGAGCTGCAAGAACATTGATGATTGTTTAACATAAGGTTGGTCTCCCTTAAACAGCTTGCTGATAGGTTTTGTAGAGACAAGAGAGAGACACACAGCCTGGCATGGCTACACACTTGTGCTTTGCTTCTTCATTGTGACCTTTGTATACTCAGTGTTGTTCAACCAGAACTCTTATAGGTAGGTAACAGTTGGACAAAATACAATAATTTTTTTAATAATTGTTTTTCAATTAATTTTTTTTTTCTTTTTTTTTTTTTTACTTGGCTAAGGCTAAAATTCAAAACCTTTTTTGCCATTTTCCTTTTAGAAATATCTCCAATTATTTGTTTTTTTAATACAATAATTTTTTTAATAATTGTTTTTCAATTAATTTTTTTTTTCTTTTTTTTTTTTTTACATGGCTAAGGCTAAAATGCATAACCTATTTTGCCATTATCCTTTTAGAAATATCTCCAATTATTTGTCTTTTGAAATGTCCATTTGCCATCAAGAACAGGGATTAATGGTATTGCTCTTGTCCATATATTTTTTCAGAAGCTCAAGTGTTGGCATGAAAATAAGGACAGCATTAGTAGCAGCAGTCTATAAGAAGGTAATACGCTGAGCTAAGAGGCTGGACATGTCTTAATGGCACTAGATGCCTTCATTAGTTTGCAACAGAGTTTTGAACTTCCAGTTTATAATGTTTAAAATAATAAAGTAACAAAATAAGACTTATTTGTTGAAGAAAATCAATAAGCTGAACATTTCAAAAGTAAATGTTCTGGAAAAAAAAATGTAAAGTTGCCGTCATAAGTTTTGTCATGTAATTTTCATTTAATAATTATATTACCACCACCCCCGTTCTTTTTTTTTTCTTTTTCTTTTTGCAAAATTACACTTTTTGGTAAGGATTGCGACATTGTAGAAAAATTTTACATAAACCAAAGTAAACAAAAACAATGATTAAAATATTTTGAAATAATACCTGTCGATCAAAATAGTTTCACTTTCTATTGCTTTAAATCAGGGGTCTCAAACTCAAATCATCCGGGGGCCGCATGTGGCAAAGTCTGAGTAAGACTGGGCCGCATCAAGTATTTCACACAAAAAAGCAATTACAAATTCAATATAGTAAAACTGTTAACAATCTGCTCAACCTTTAGTAATAACAAATAAAAACATTAAGGGTTCTCAAGAACTAGGCTTCACTTTTTTCCTCCTACATTTTGCTGCTAGAGACCTAACAAGTGATCAAGCTTAAAGGTTTGGAATTTCCCTCACTCGTAAACATTTCCGGCAATTTTAATAGGAATTCTTTGTTACTGTTTCAGATTGCTACGATTTACACAATTATGGTGTGCATTACCCACTAACTGACTTTTTAAAATCTTGAAATATTTATAGATAATATTCGAAGCGTATTTTCTCAAAAAGCATTTTAGCCATGTTTTTCGCATAAAATTATACAAATTAAAAAATTTTAGTCCGATTTTAAAACGTGTGTACCATTATAATCAACGTCCAAATCTATACAAACATAATAAAAATCAGAATTAGACTAGCCGGTGAGGTTTGACCGAAGCCGTCGCTGAGTGTCACATTATAGATATGATGATTGGGGAAAATGCGCGGGCCGTATTAACACTAAACTTTTCTGTCATGTCGCGGGCCGCAAAATATCGTCTTGCGGGCCGGGAGTTTAAGACCCCTGTTTTCAATGAACCTCTTTTTTTAAACTATTTCCCCCTAACAGTCACTGACTATGAACAATGAAACCAAGAAGAAATTTACCATGGGCAACATTGTCAACCTGATGTCCATTGACTGCCAAATACTCCAGGACGTGACCTCTAACCTTTACATAGTAATCTCTGCTCCCTTTCAGGTGGTTAGCAGTTGTTTTTTTTGGTTACTCTTTATTTGAATTGACATTAAAGAAAACGAATCTTGTCATTTCATTTTTGCTTGAAAACTTCTAGGGAGAGCGTTACAGCATACTGCGCTGTATATATTCTGATTGAAGTATCAACAATCTAAGGATATTACAAATGGAATTTCTTAGTTTTCATATGTTTAGAAAAATTAATTGATCTTAATTTGCTACACTAAGAATAGGAAGATAATAAGTTAAGGAAGTATTTGAAAACAAAATTAATTAAAATAGCAATTAAAATCCAAAAGATTTCTATAGTTCATAACTGACATTTTGTTCAAGATAGTCTAAAAAATATTTTAAGAACAGAAATTTTATTATGATCTTGTATTTTTGTAATCCGTACAGATTTGTATAGCCTTCTACTTCCTGAATGATGCGTTGGGCCTGTCCTTTGTTGCTGGTGTGGCTGTCATAGTTGCCTTAATTCCTCTGAATGCCCGGGTTACAGTGCTAGCCAAACGTGCGCAGACGGAGCAGCTCAGGGTGAAAGATGAACGACTGAAAACTATGAATGAAATATTAAGTGGCATCAAAGTGAGCATTAAAGAAAGCTTCTTTATAAAATTACATAACACCAAGAAAAAGAAAGAAGTTTATATATTTTTTAATTTAAAAAAATGTTTGTTGAGGATTTGATTTCAAATTTTAGACTCTAATTAATGTATTTTTAACAGGTACTGAAGTTGTATGCATGGGAAACCTCCTTTGAAGAAAGAATCCAGACACTACGAGGAAGAGAGCTGAAGTTATTGAGGACAGCCGCTATTTTAAACATAATAAATGTCTTCAGTTGGCTCTGTTCACCCGTGCTGGTAAGACTTCCTAATACAACACCATTTATTACTGACACACTATCTATTGCTGTGTGATCAATAACTGATATTGAAGAATTATTTGTACACCTGTCAAAAATTTTTTTAAGGAAATGTTATTGTTTACATCTATTGGTGAGTTGGGAACAGATCATAGGTCAACATGGTCAATAAGCATAATTTGTCAAGATGGTCAATAATTTTTTTGCTGCAATTAAACAATTTTTTTTATTTCAGAACATGTATATATATATAAAATTTTATATATATACATTTATTTATTTATTTAGATAAGGATTTAAGACCTGAAAAGGTAATTGGGCTGCTTACAGAAAAAATTCAATCTCTTGTTAATTATTTTGAAGTAAAATCAAGAAATTTAAATCGTAGCTTAACTTTCATACATTGATATCATGTGGCTGCTTCTTTCAACTCTTATAAGATTATTAAGGCTTCATTGCAGATAATTTTTATATTTACCCTTAATTAAATAATGGATGATGATTCAATGGATGATATGATGGTTGATTAAATTGATGATTAAATGAAAGATTTAATGGATTATTTAACCAATGATTTTATGGATGATTTAATGGTTGATATCATGGATGATTTAATGATTGATTTAATGGTTGATTATCATGGATGATTTAATGAATGATGTAATGGTTGATTTAACGAATGTTATAATTGATTATTTCATGAAAAATTTAATGAATGATTTAATGGTTGATTTCATCAATGATTTAATATTGAATTAATGAATTATTTAATGGATGAGACAATTAATGATGTTGATATTTCATCCTTTTCATGATTTAAAATCTAGTTCATCTGTTTTCTTGTACTTGTTTCCTAAATAAAAATTCATCTTTTTTTATTTCCTAATTAGGTAGCAACAACAACGTTTATAACTTACATATTTGTGTCCAGTGAACACAGCCTAGATTCCAAAACTGCATTTGTCTCTCTCATCCTCTTCAACATCTTGTCACTGCCAATGAATAAACTGCCTACCATTGTGTCAGACCTTGTTTCTGTAAGTCATTTCTTTAACTTTAAATGCTCTCAAACTTGTATTTAAAAAGCTTAAACGTTAGTCACGATATTTATATTTTCTGAAAATTATTTTATATTTAAAAAAGGGTAGAAAATATTGATATGTTTATGATATTTTTTAATGAAAAAAAAAGCTAAAGTATGAATTTTTTGTTTAAGTTTTAACATTTTTACACACGCACTATTTTATTCCGCACATGGACATACAGGCACACATTCCAGTGTGTACATATATAGGCATATTTCAATAATTATCTACAGACAGATTATGTTTCAATGTGTACATACAGGCACATGTTTCGGTTGGGAGACTCCAGGAATTTCTGTCAGGCATCGATCTGAATGGTAACGATGTCATCAGGGTGAGCATGAGCGACAAGACCACCTATGTAGGTCAAGCCAGGTCCATGAGGCTGCAAACTGAGAAAAGTAAGTGAGGAATTATTAATTTTGATAACATTGTTCGCCGTTAACATTGAAGTCTCTTATTTCATTTATTTGTTTCCTAAAATTGTAAACAATATTTAAGGATAATTTACGAGTGATTGAATTCAAGACGTATGAAGCAAATTGTGGAAAAATATTTGTTTAGGCTTGAAATGAAAAGATAAGAAATGTGTGATGGGGTGTGGGGTGCATTTCTGTGCATTTCTACATAGAATCAGCAAGCATCAGAAGAGTGATTTTGTAAATTTAGGTTCCCTTGACCTGGTTGTTTTTTATAAAAATCCTTTGTTTTTAGTTGATTCTCAATAGTAATGTTGCTTTATAATTCTGTTATAGGGCTTTTATTTTTATTTGTTTACGCTAGTGAATGAATTTTAATGGCTAGTACCATTATACATGTTGATCAAACATGAAAAAAAATCAAACTCTAAGTATATTAATATATTAATTACCTGTTGGCATTTATTTATAATTTAAATGTCCAAATATAAAAGATAGAAAAAAATTGACCAAATAAGGCCTACTGTTTTGTAGAAAAGGTCTATTGAATTTTTATGACTATTTAAAACTGGTCATTTTTTTATAAATTGCATATAAGTGACATAATAATATAAAAAAGAAGATAGGATAAGAAAGGGTGGTCCAAAAATGAGAAGGAGGGGTCACATTGAACATACTGTAAAGGACAAAACATTGTATTAATTCAGTTATATAAAATAACCCTTAGCTATGAGATATTCTCACTTTTTTTGGTCACCTTGTGTGTACAAAAAAGGCATCACACTTTTATTTAAAAAGTACCAAAAAATTAGTAAATTGAAAGGTTTATTTGAAATTTCAGAATACTACTAACAGAGCTGTTGCATGTGCCTTTCAATCCCTGCAGCAGCAGTGGGAAAGGAAATGGAGGGGGGGGGGGGGGGGGTTGAATATTTAAGGGACCTAAAGTTGTGATGTGGAAACAAAATTGAGCTATAACTTTGAATGAATGAGGCATAAAATCTAAAATTCCGGAAGGCTCCAAATGTCATCCAGCGCCTACTGCTATAACTTTCTTTAGATAAATTACTAAGTAATGAACATATTGCATCTAATTGTAAAACTCTGTTTTATTTACTTTAATAACAAATTTCATGTTAAATCCCTGGATTTGTTTTTTTAATTGACGAATTCTACTAAAATTCGTACCAAAAATGTGCAATTATTTTAAAATCGAAATCTTGTTCGCAAAAACCCTGCACTTTGAAAGAAAATCAACTTTCCTAAATATCGTTCATTATTCATTAACAATATGGCCATCTTGATGAGCCACTGTTGCTCCTTAGAAGTGTGAGGCAACTGCCCAGTGTGACCGAGTGTGCCCGCGCTATAAGATGGCACAGCATGATGCTATTACATGATGGGAAGGTACTCAGGGGTGGTCTGAAAGTTACTGTAAATGAAATCAATGAAGCCAGTTGGCCTACTTTTCTATAAACAATTGATTGGACAACATATTGTGTAAATGGCATAAACCAACTGACTGTAGTGCTTAGATTTGTTGTGAAATTGGATGATGAGGTGGCACGTTTTGTTATATAAATGGTAGTTTTGGAAGCACTTTCCACCACTGTTTTTTTTGGCCTCCTGAAACAAATAACGGTTTCTGTTTTCAGCAACCTGGTGTGCTAATTATTATGTTGAAAATTTAGAGAAAGCCAAGAAGCGATACATACTGAAAACATGGTACATTATAATTATATGATTATCAATTCTGTATGTGCTCAAGGTCATGCTTCTACTGTGAGGACAACTTGGAAATTCACTGTGCCTCGGTGTAACACTGTCTGATATAAACAATCATTCTTACCATGCACAATAATCGCTTGGAACCACATGGACAATGCCGCCGTGGACTCGACATCAATCGAGAGCTTCGAGGCTGCCCTGGCATCTGCTAGGAGCCGTTAGGATAGCAGCATCGCTTCCCCAACCGTTGTACATATGCCAGTACATGGATTCAGCAACGTACCCTACAAGAACCAGAAACAAATACAACCAATCATGAATTATTAAAAAAAAATAATAATGGATCCCTATACTTTGTTTTACTATTACTCTTTGTATTTTTATTACTATTTTTTTTTATTGCTTTTTGTATTTTTATTAATATTTGGTTTTTTTAATTACTATTTATTTTATTACTACTATTTGTATTTTTATTACTATTTATTTTTTATTACAATTTTTTATATTATTACACATTTTTTGTTTTATTACTATTTGTTTTATTATTACTACTTGTATTTTTATTACTATTCTCATGATTATTTTTCCTTCTTGCATTGTCTTCAGATTTGTTTGCCATATCTGACATGACAAATTGTCACAATTTTTTTCTCTTATTCTATTTTAGTTTGCACTGTTTTTTAAATGTTAAATAATAAGTAGGTCATTTGGGAATAAATGTACCATTTGATTTTCATGTTTTGCATAGCTATAGGCCTATATGTATGAATATTGTATATCTTAGGTGCAGTGTACATTTCAAATGCCACATTTCATTGGGACAGGGCTCTGGCTCCAGTGCTAAAAAAGTAAGTCAATATGTTACTTTTATCATAGGTATACACTTTTATCATTTGTATACAATGAGTATTAGAGCCAATCTTATGTTTTTTGTTTGCTGTTTTTATTTTATGTATTGGTTATAAATAGTTAGCCTGTAATTTAATTTTTAAACTTTCTGAGTAACAGTTAGCCTATAATTTAATTAATTAAACTTTCCCAGTAATAAATAGTTAGCCTGTACTTTAATTAATTAAACTTTCTGAGTAATAAATAGTTAGCCTGTAATTTAATTTATACAAACTTTCAGCACGGTTACTATGAAATTAACTTTATCCATTTCCTTGTTGCTCTTCAAAGTTCTTGCTTTAAAAAAAGTCTTTATTTGGTTGGGTTTTTTTTTTTTAATTTTTAAAAACAATTTTGATTGACCATTTAGTCATAATGGCTTTATGTGAGGGCTGCTGATTGACCATTTAGTCATAATGGCTTTATGTGAGGGCTGCTGATTGACCATTTAGTCATAATGGCTTTATGTGAGGGCTGCTGATTGACCATTTAGTCATAATGGCTATTTGTGAGGGCTGCTGCCAACTTTTAGATTTTGTTCCGTCCAATTTTACCAAAAGTGATCACCAAAGAATATGAAATACCTAATTTAGTCAAATTTAAGCCCTTGATGATACCAAGTTTGTTACAGCTTGGATGTGAATATTCCTACGGGCAAGCTTGTGGCTGTCGTGGGTCAGATGGGAGCTGGTAAATCATCACTGTTGTCTGCCATCCTCGGGGAAATGGAGAAGGTGTCTGGGGACATTGTGGTCAGGGTGAGTAATTGATTGATTAACAGATGACCACTTCTAAGTTGTTTTGTGTCATGCAATCATCACTAAAAACATTTATTATGTGATGTGGTGACTCGATGTCATTCATGTGAACTGATGTATGTGGTTTGTTGTTGTTATTTAATGTGTCTTAAATTATTCTTGAATTCCTATCATTTATTATTTGATTGGGTTACCTAGAAGAAAAATTCTTGAATTACTACTTTACATCACTAGGCCTATAACATGTTAAGTAGCCCAACTACATAAACATTTTGCATGTTATTATAGAATAGAGGCCTATTGACACTCATGAACTATATTTTTGAACAGAGTTTAACAAACTCATTCAGAGATGTGATGCATCTGAAACTGATTTTAGTTTACAGCATAATTTATTTACTTATGTTTCAAGTTCCTTACAAAAATAGATTAAACCAAAGTTAACAAGTTGAACTAATGCTGCTGAATTTGTCTTTGTCCTTCTTTGATGTTGCTGTTCAGGGAACTTTGGCTTATGCACCCCAACAGCCTTGGATACAGAACATGACAGTGAAGCAAAACATCTTGTTTGACAGACGCTATCACCACAACAGGTACACGCGTGTTGTCAAGGCGTGTTCTCTGCAGTCTGACCTGGAGCAGCTCATGGGCGGAGAGAATGCAGAGATTGGTGAAAATGTGTGTAGGTTATGTACATTATTATTACTAAACATGAGACTTGCCAATTGATGAAAACATTTTTTTACTATGTAAATTAGACCCATTCTAACTCTCATTAAAAGCTATTAGAACAGTCCAATCGTTAGTTTAAATATGATTGAATGGTCATAGCTGGCAATGTAAACGAAATTGGTAAATAATAATCTTACCATTCAAAGGGAGCTAATTTAAGTGGCGGCCAAAAACAACGTGTGTCACTGGCCAGGACAATCTACTGTGATGCAGACTTGTATCTGTTTGATGATCCCCTGAGTGCACTGGACACTCATGTGGCTAAACATATCTTTAAAAATGTCATCAGCAACAGTGGGATGCTGAAGTCAAAGGTGAGGCTCTCCTCCATCTATTGCATTTATCCTTTACTCATCAAATAAACTAAAACATGCATATAAATTCTTTATTAGTTTATACGTCTTGTGTGAAAGGATATGAGAAACTACCAGGTATTGTCTTCACGAATGACAATAATTGTTTACTTGACAAGTACCGTAATGTTATTTTCTGATCAGTTTAAAAAAAAAGCAGTCATGTTGAAACAAAATTGAGAACTTTGTGGAGTGAATCCTGATTTTTTTTTTTTTTTCCTTCTGTTTACTGCAGACTCGTCTCCTTGTGACCCATGGCGTCCACTGGCTGCCGATGGTAGACATCATCCTGGTGCTGCATGAAGGCAGACTAATACAGAGTGGTAGCTATGAAGACCTGCTCAGTAGGGATGGGCCCTTCGCCCAGTTCCTCAAGAACTACTTAATGGATGATGATGTAGTGGACGATCCTGAAAGTAAGATTTGACATTTCATCCTGAAAGTAAGATTAATATTTCATCCTGGGGGTGATCTTCTACCCTTGGTGGCTCTTAACCTTGCTACGGCACCACTTGTCATAAGAGTAAGATGTGTGAAAATAATTTCTTTTAAAATAAAATGTAATTTTTGATGTCAGTTCAAGATAAAAAAAAATTGTATATCATATCTTTATAAAAACTAGAATTTTTCTATTTAATTTCATTTTATCAATTATGTGACAAAGAACTGGTTTTGTTCTTACAAGTTTGTTTGTGTGTCAAGTGTTTTTAGTCTTATGAAGTGTTTTTAGCCTTGTGAAGTGTTTTTAGCCTTGTAAAGTGTTTTTAGTCTTGTAAAGTGTTTTTAGTCTTGTAAAATGTTTTTAGTCTTGTGAAGTGTTTTTGATCTTGTAAAGTGTTTTTAGTCTTGTAAAGTGTTTTTTGTTTTGTGAAGTGTTTTTGGTCTTGTCAAGTGTTTTTAGTCTAGTAAAGTGTTTTTAGTCTTGCAAAATGTTTTTAGTCTTGTGAAGTGTTTTTGATCTTGTCAAGTGTTTTTAGTCTAGTAAAGTGTTTTTAGTCTTGTAAAATGTTTTTAGTCTTGTGAAGTGTTTTTGATCTTGTAAAGTTTTTTTAGTCTTGTAAAGTGTTTTTGGTTTTGTGAAGTGTTTTTGATCTTGTAAAGTGTTTTTAGTCTTGTAAAGTGTTTTTGGTTTTGTGAAGTGTTTTTAGTCTAGTAAAGTGTTTTTAGTCTTGCAAAATGTTTTTAGTCTTGTAAAGTAAGACTTAATGTGTGTGTTTCAGTAAGTTTCATAAGGACCGAGATTTGGAAGAGAGTGGATAGTGTAACATCAGATGGCTTGACATCAGCTGACGAGGATGACAGACCCAGGAGGAGAAGACTCCGCAGGTCAGTCCATTTAAAAAAAAAACACACTCATCCTGTTTTGTTGAAATGTTTGGCTCTTAGTGAGATGTGGACCGATAATTAGATAGGTTGCAACAATGACTAAGCATGATTTTTAATGTGGGGATTAAATGTCATGCAAAAAGACAACACTGCATACATTCTATAATAAAGAGTGCACCAGCACCACACTAACAGTGCACCAGCACCACACTAAGAATGCACCGGCACAATATTAAGAGTGCACGGCACCATGTTAAGAGTGCACCGGCACCATGTTAAGAGTGCACCTATAAAGAGGAAAGACATAATTACTATTAATTACTTTGTGATTTGTAGTTGGAAAAATAATATAGATCTGTTTTCATTTCACTATTTGCTTTTTGTTGGTCAGTTTTGTGTTTGGTTAGTTTTGTGTTTGATCAGTTTTGTGTTCGGTCAGTAAGGTATTGTTTTTGCACTCTCTGTAATGTCTGCTGTCTGATTTATAACTCGAAGCCTCATATTTAATTCAAACTTCTAATAAACCTTCCCAGTTTTTTTTTTTTTTATGTGTTTTTTGTTTGTTTTGTTTTTTCAACAATAGAACCAGTACATTAGATTTCACTACAGATCCCTCCAAATATGAAGAGTGTTTCTCTAATGAATCAACACTAATGGAACATGGCTACAAACTGATAGAAGAAGAGATATCGGCAAAGGGCAAGGTTGTTGAACCCTGATATTATCTATTTATAGGTTTATGTTCTTATTTAAATTTGCCATGTCCCAGAGTTTGAAAAAATCATTACAGTGCATCATGTATTCAAGTGTAAGACTTTCATTTCTATAGCGTATGACTTTATACAAAAAAATAGTCAGGCCTGTAACTTTTATTTTTGAAGTTTTAATTTTTTTTATTCCCTTTAATACACTTTCTCAACTTTTAGGATCAGTTCCCTATGTATCAAAAATATGAAACCTTGCATTTTTTTAAAAACAATAGTTGTATAATTACATGCATTTGAATCTCAGCATTTATAACAAGTGGAAATATTTCAGGTGGACGTGGGGATAAAAATACACAAGTATTTGTCCTTTAAATGTTTAAAAATTAATATTAAGAAGCCGTTATGTAATTTGTTTGTGTGATTGTATAAAAGGTGTTAGGTTGCAAATAAACTGATTTGTTTTGCTCTTCATTGTGTTTACTAAAATATAATTTAAGTCCTTTATGTTTTCCAGATACTTTTTTTTCCTTGTTGATATAAAATTGTTCTATTTGTTTTTACAACCAAGGTAAAAGGTTCAGTGCTGTGGGACTTCATCAAGGCGTTTGGCGGTTGCTTTGCTGTTTGCCTCCTGGTGCTGCTCCTGGTCTATCAAGGAGTCGGGGTCGGAGCCAACATCTGGCTCTCCTTGTGGACTGATGACCCTTACCTGACCAACCAGACGCTGTCAGATACAGAGCTGTATCAAACAAAGACGTACACATATTTGGCAGTTTACAGTGCTCTCGGACTCATTCAAGGTATCAAAAATTTCAAAGCTTTACATTTTCTGTCTGTTTTTTTTAACTAGGAACAGTGGCAGCATTATGCATGCCAACCCAGTTGATGCAAATTTTTATTTGCGTTAAGTTTTAAAAAAAATCAAAACTGTGACATAAAAAAAAAATTAATCTTGCTACATTAACTGGGTAAACTAAAACTGAGGTTAGTATATTTGGATCAATACTCATCTGTGTTAAAATCAGCTATCAATTCATTCCTAAAATTTTTTTTTTACATTTTAAAACTTCCAAAATACCTACTTTTAAAGTAGTTCTTTCACTTACACAGTCATTTTATATATTTAATATCTTTATATTTTTTATAAATTTTAAAAATTATTTCAGCTATTTGTGCTTTAGCTTTTGTGGCCAACATTTCACTTCGCATGGTGGCCGCTTCAAAACGCCTGCATGATGCACTGTTAGAAAACATTATGCGACAGCCGATGAGATTCTTCGACACAACACCCCTTGGGCGGGTCATCAACAGGTTCTCAAGGGATGTCGACATCATCGACACCTCCATGGCTCGCCTTGTCCGCCTGTTCTTCCAGCAGTTATTTGCCGTCCTGAGTGTCCTGGTCGTGATTACCTATACCACACCTATCTTCATTGCAGCAGCTGCGCCCATTATGTTTGTTTACTACCTGGTACAGGTAAGCCAAGTTAACCACAGTATGTGCATGTTAATCACCCAGTACAGGTCCGCCAAAAGAACTCTGGATCAGGACCTTACATAAATGCAGTGCTCTAACAATAGATATGAGTAGCTGTGAACCTGTAAATAAGCTAATGAAAATACTGTACTACACACTGAGCAGAATAGAGAAATATGCAACCTGAGCGTAACCTAAACCCACATTGTTACAAGTCAGCATTTTAGTGATTCTTAGCCAATATTGAATTATCATTCCTTTTTTATAGAATTTTTAAAAGGATATAAAATATCTGTCAGAAGTTCTGTTTGCCAACTTCATGACAGCTTCGCTGTTTTTCCTGATTGAATTCTTTAAATAAATAATATGAAAATATCTGTCAGAAATTCTATGTGCCATCCTCACGACAACTTCGCCGTAACGAGTCCACTACAAGATCTCCAATCTACTCTCACTTCAGTGAGACTCTGTGTGGCGGGAGCACAATTCGAGCATTCAAGGCAGTTGACAGGTTTGCCTCCGAGTCACAGCGCAGAGTGGACATCAACAATGCTTATTTTTACGCCTTCACTTCAGCTTCAAGGTAAAATAGAACAGACTCTTATAGCTTCTAGGTGTCTGAGATTAAGTATAGTAGATGTATTAGAAGTAGTTTATACAGCTTAAAAAACAAAATCATTATTTAAATTGTTAAGTTTAGAAATATCAAAACTAGCTGGATTTTAAAACACTGCTAATTAAAAATGCTTTTATGATGCTGGTGTTAATAAATGGTAATAAGGGGGAAATGCTGCAATCAGGTTAGGTAACAGAGACTGAGCGAAACAAAGTATGCGAATACCTGGGAAATACACAATGAAATTCCTCTTGCTGTCCTCTCTGACACTTCATTGCAGCGAAGTGTTTACTTTAATTTTATATAGTTTTTACTGATGTTTGATTGCTGAAGATGACCTCTTGCCGACACGTTCATCGTTTTGTTGCATCCTTTTTTCCCAGGGTTTCCCTTACTTTGTCTTTGTTTGGCGATTTCCTTTTGCTTTTGATAAAACTTTATAAATGACCTTCCATTGGTTTTCATTTGCTACAAAAATAGTTACTGGGGAAAATAATGACTCATTTCTGACACATGTGATGAGATTCTCTTAAGATTCTGTTGAACTATGTATCATTAAATATGATGCTAATTTTTTAAAAATATTTGACTACACAACAACTTTAACTCATTTTGATTCTTTCTATCTTTAGATGGATCAGAATCCGTCTGGAGCTTTTGGGCAACATGATTGTCCTGAGTGCAGCACTCCTGGGGGTTACAGCAGATGGACTGACCGGCAGCCTTGTGGGTCTCTCAGTGTCTTATGCTCTGCAGGTATTTGATCACCTTCTTAGATGATATTTTATTCAGATCAGATTTAAGTATAACATCTACCGACCAATGATTGAACCTGACTTGTCTAACAGGTGACCAGCACTCTGAATGAACTGATCCAGAACTCAACTCAGCTGGAGAGTAATGTTGTGTCTGTGGAGAGGATTGTGGAATATTCCAAACTACCCCAAGAGGTAAGCTGAGGCCCAAGCAGGAAAATAAGCACATGCTTAGCACATCGGGGTTAAAGGGGCACCACAAATAGACACCTAGAAAAATATTGAGTATTTCCACTAAATCAAGAATTTCCACAAAATCAAGAATTTCCCCTAAATAAAAAATCTACTCAATCAAGAATCTACTAAATCAAAAATTTCCAATAAATCAATAATTTCCACTACATCAAGAATTTCCATTAGCAAACCATCTGCTGACCTCCAATTAAGTTTAAAATGATGCAAAACTGAAGTCCTGCATTTGAATGTTAAATTTTCTCCGCACTTTTTAGCTTGGGAGCCTTCGGTGTCTTCTATCTTTCTACCCTCACCTCATCAAAGTGTCATTACAGGCATCTTTACTTTTATTTTTTTTTAAAAGCCCCACTACTAGGAATAAAGCAGGGTTGATGACTGGTCTTAAAGTTTAAGATACTCCATAAAAATTTGACCAGCACTAACTTTACAATGAAAGTCTGTAAGATTTAGGTTGTCCGTTAAAAAAAAAAGAAGAAAGAAGAAAAACAAAATGGGAAATCTCAGCGTTTATGATTTCTCCTTCCTTGCCATAAGCATAAATTATGCTAATCAGGAGACATTAATATTGTGGAGTGGTGAGACAATAAACTTACGCTGCATATTTGATTTTATGTCATATGACATACAGCTATGTATACTTAATAACACATAGTCACAGATGTTTTGGTCAAATTTATTTTCATCCCTTTAAAAAATTTTTTTACAGTAAAATAAAATATGTGCTTGTCAATAAAATATGGGAAGATTATATATAAAGTTGTCAAAGCAGGTATAGATGCAATTTTAATGCTACGTCTCTACAAATATATACCCCAATATATAAACTTTTTCTGTCATAGACAATACTTAAGTGTAAGTTTTGTTAAGAACGGCAAAGGTTTATATTACGCTTACATTTCTTGATGCCATAACCTATTTCTATACACTTTAATGTTGTATTTCAATGGGAAAAATTCCTCAACGTGAACAGTTTTTACTAATTTAATAACATCTGTAATAAAATATGTTTGAAATGTATCATTTAATGATACCAAAAACCATTGGATTCATTCAGCCAGCCTGGGGCACCTCTTCTCATAAACTGAGCTCAGATTGGCCGAGGCTAGGAGACATTGTCTTCCGCAGCTACAGCACCAGGTACAGGCCTGACCTTGAACTTGTTCTCAAGAACGTGTCATGTCATATCGAGGATGGTGAGAAGGTCAGCAAAGAACTGGTTTTACATCTTTGGATTTACTTATTGATTTTACCCCATCATGTTTACTTTGACGTAAAACTTAAAACAAACCTATTTGAGTTTAACATAATTGAAACGTAAGAATATTTCCAGCGGATTAAGGCTTTTTGTAACATTATATATTTTATTACAGATTGGAATAGTTGGGCGAACTGGCGCCGGAAAATCATCCATGTCAATGGCCTTGTTCCGCCTGATTGAATCTGTTGGAGGCAGTATTATAATAGATGATGTGAACATAGCAGACATAGGTCTTCATGATTTGAGATCCAGGCTCACAATAATACCCCAGGTTTAATATTAGCCCTCGCTGATTTTAAAGACGTACAATATTTAAAATTGGCTTTGGTCTTCAAAATCACTGCAAAAAAACTCTTCCTCTCCTGAATTCTTTTATTTCTGTATGTAAATATAATTAAATGTTGATGTTAGGAAAATAATTTAATAATCTTTAATGTTCTTCTGTACAGGACCCAGTCCTTTTCTCTGGTACGCTGCGTTTCAACATTGACCCATTTCGCCTGCACAGTGATGATGACATCTGGACAACACTTGAATATGCCAAACTTAAAACTTTTGTGGCTGAGTTGCCAGGTGGGCTTTCATTTGTGTGCGAAGAGGGAGGCCAAAACCTGAGGTAATTATGGCGCATTTACACAGACAGACATGTATCTCCCTGTTTTGGTCGGCATGCAGACCCGCCAAGTGTGCCCTACCACCTCGGGGGAGGGGGGGGGGGTCATGTATTAAGGGGCCCAAAGTTGTGATGTGTAAAAACATTTAGGGGAAAGTCATTTTAAATTGGGTTGAATAACTGATATGCTCAATAGCTGAATTGCAAAAATAATAAGTTGCAGGGGGCCCCTGAAAGTCATACGACGGCTGTGATGTCATGTAACAATCATATTTAATTATTTTTTTTTTTAAACAAACCGTTTATGAAATGTTAAGGAAGCAAAGAGAATGAATGTAAATTACTTGAAAAATGAAATAATACAATATCAAATGTATAATTATGAGTGAGCAAAACATGAAAGAAATTAACTTTACAAAAATATTTTAAAGGATTTTTTTTTTTTTTTACATTAAGGGTGCATCTTGTAGAGTGTTGGATAATCCCCATTTGAATGTACTAATTAGCTTAGCAAACCTTCCCCTCCTCTATAATAAATTTTTAAAAAGCCAAAGGAAGGCATTTTTGAATTAATAAACATTTAAAATCTTAAAAATGTAATCATTTTCTTGTTAGAGAGGTCAAAGGTTTCAATCTGACATAAAATGATGTAATGTAATTGTCTATCTATATGATATGGATACAGCTTGATGATAATTATCTGATTTACAAAGTCAGTCATTCAAAGTCAGTCTTACAAAGTCAGTCTTACAAAGTCAGTCATACAGAATCAGTCATGCAAAGTCAACCATACGAAGTCAGTCATGCACAAAATGTTCTAACTTGTGAGTCAAACAGCCAAAACACTGATTCTACTGTTAAAAATTTTAGATTTGTTAATTTATTGAAATGGACCCTGAGGGACTCTGGAAATGTATTTGTCATAGACCTCTAGTGACAATGAATGGGTCCATTTATGAAACAGGGATTATATTTATGACCAGTTACCTCTACCTCCCAGTGTTGGCCAGAGACAACTGGTCTTTTTGACCAGTACATATTTATGACCACTTACATTTATCTCCTAGTGTTGGCCAGAAACAATTGGTCTGTTTGACCAGCTCTCTTGAGAGTCAGTAATGACCTCTTGCGCGCAATGGACAGCGGTAATGTCTCCATTTTGATCCTCTTAGACCTCAGTGCGGCCTTTGACACTGTTGACCATGAAATCCTTTTCAAAAACCTTGAAAACTACTTTGGAATTTCTGGTTCGGTTTTGGCTTGGTTTAGGTCCTACCTCTCTGATAGAACGCAAATGGTCTCTGTCGATGGCTGTCTCTCCGGCAGTGCTGATTTGGTGTACGGAGTGCCACAGGGGTCCGTTTTGGATCCGGTTCTATTCATAATGTATACCAGGCCACTACTCCTCTTGCTCGGGAGGCATGCTGTTGAGAACCAGTCATTTGCAGATGATACGCAGCTATACATGCATACCCATCCATCTCTTGTCGATTCCGCTGTCCAGACTTTGCGGGGATGCATTGATGATGTCAAGTCTTGGATGACACTCAGCAAGTTGAAGCTTAATGATGACAAAACAGAAGCACTCCTCATTTACAATCACAAATCATCCTCTACCTCAATTCTTCCCACCTCATTTCAAGTAGGTAACTCCGACATACAGTTTACACCCTCTGCTAGGAATCTTGGTTATATTCTTTCTAACAACATGTCTCTCGATAAACATATCTCTCACATTTGTCGTTCAGCATACACCGCCATCCGTCAGATCAGCTCCATCCGCCACTACCTGACAGTTAGCGCAACAAAAACTCTAGTCTGTGCTCTTGTTCTCTCTCGTCTTGATTATTGCAACTCACTTCTGTCAGGTTCACCGAAACATTTTATAGAAAAACTGCAGAAAGTTCAAAACTCTGCTGCTAGGCTTGTTCTTAAGGCAAAAAAACGCGATCACGTCACTCCACTACTCCACTCACTACATTGGCTCCCTATACAGGCACGCATTGACTACAAGCTGTCTCTTCTCTGTCACAACTTTTTCTCGGATTCCTGCCCTTCCTATCTAACTGAACTTCTTTCTGTCTATTCACCCCTTCGACAACTTCGCTCCTCCGCAGACTCGCGTATTCTGTCCGTTCCCAAGACACGCACTAAATTATATGGTGAACGATCTTTCTCTTTCTGCGCCCCCAAACAATGGAATTCTTTGCCACTACACATCCGCAATATAACAACCACACAGGCCTTCAAAACTGCACTCAAAACACATCTATTTAAACTATACTACTCTGACTGATTCTCCTCCTATAAACCGATAAACGTACATGGGTTTCCTTGTAAAAATGTCTGGTGTGGGTGGATGAATATACCTATGGTGTTGTTTTGCTTATATGTTGTTTTTATTTCATTTATGTATTTTATTTTAATATTATGATTATGCCTCTTTGCTATATATGTACAGCGCGGTGAGCCCAGCCCTAGGCCGGGGTACCGCGCTATATAAGACCACTTATTATTATTATTATTATTACATATTTATGACCACTTATGTTTTACCAGTACATATTTATGACCACTTACCTTTATCTTCCAGTGTTGGCCAGAGACAACTGGTCTGTTTGACCCGGAGCTTAATGAGGAAAAACAAAATCCTGATCTTGGATGAAGCTACGGCAGCGGTGGACATAGAGACAGATGAACTCATCCAGCAATCCATTAGACTGTGTTTTAGGGATTGCACTGTGCTCACAGTGGCCCATAGGCTGACCACAATCATGGACTATGACAGGTAAATTAGAGGACACATGGCCCATGGACTGAGGACTGACTATAATTATGGACTAATACTAGTAAAATAGAGGACTCTATATTTTTTCATTTCATACGCTATGCTAATTTTTCACCTTTGCCATGAAATAGTGTAAATACCCATAATTTTGTTTAATGTTTCTTTGTCAACAGGATACTTGTGTTAGAAAATGGACGAATAGCCGAATTTGATACAGTTGAGCACCTGTTAGACAACAAACAATCAATATTCTACAGTATGGCCAAAGAGGCAAATCTTCTCCTTTACAAACCTGATAACTTCAAGTTATGACAGAATTAAGATTTGAAAGATACTGTCGGTTATAGTTTGTGCTGATGTTCATCTTCTTTTAAAGAATTATTTTTGTGGTTTTTTTTTTACCATTTTTGATAACTGGAACACTGTAAATTGAATCTGTGTAACTTTGTTGTTACTGTTACTTTCACATTATTGGTGCTGGTTGGTTGATGTTCAATGTGTTCTTCACCCAAGGATAAGATGTTTTCACTTATGAATTATTTCTATACAAAACGACTAATAATAAAAAATAGAAAGCACAAATTATTGCTTTATTTAATTATAAAATTTCATTTGCTCTGTTCCAAGTGTCATTCATTTTTTTTTTTTTTAAACATTGATTTACTGGGTAAATTTGTGTCCAAGCTCAAACTTATTTTTTGTAATGTGATTTTAAATTATGTGGTAGGATTCTAAACAATTTTTTTTATATTTATCTTACTGAAAGTATTTTTTTTAACAAGCTAATGGTCGTAAAGTCAATTTTGTAAATTGAACCCATGGTTTAATATGGGGTTCAAGGAATTATTTCCTGTTTGAAAAACACAAATTTATCTTGATTGATGTCCCTTTTCAAAACAGTAATTATCTACCATGTTTTGATTTATTGCAAATAATTTCACCTTAGGCTAGCGGCAGTAAATGATGTAACTGTTATTGAAAAATAATGCTGTCGTGATATTTATCTTCTTATTTTAGTGAAATTGGTTGATTTATTCAAGAAATAAGTGCAATTTAATTATGTTAATGTTTGCATTAAATGATGCATTTTTTATGCACCTTTTTTTCTTTTTTTTTTTAATTCTCGGGGAATTTTCATTTAAATGTTTATTTAAAAATTTGTTTTCAATAATAATTTTAAAAAAGTCTTTGTTGTGAAAGTTTAAGTGAATTGTTTTTTAAAATTTTATGTTGATCTGGTGGGGGTAAAAAAATGGAAACTAAGTTATTATTTTTTTACAATGATATCACAAGCAATATTCCAATAAATAAGATCTGAGATTATTCACAAATTATATTCATTTCAAAACTATGAACAAAAAACCATTTTAAACAAGAGTTTAATTTTTAAAATTTAAAAAATAATAATGTTTGATGAAGGCAAAATAAATGAGAAGGGTTATTTCCCTAGCTGTGGCTACTCTATCCAAGTAATTTGAAATAATATGGTTTGACTCAACAGGATGACGTACAGGGTTGGCTGCAAAGCAGGCAGCAACCCGTGTGGTACCGGTTTGGTTATAGAGAAAATGACTAGGTATTTATATACTGTTTTTATTATTTTGACAGTTGTAACAACCGATTTGGTGGAATGGTGAAAATTTAACAGCCGGGTGTGGCCAATGGGGCTCCAGCACACCCCTGACAACATAGATTATTTAGACACTTACACAGGCGGACATTTCTAAGAACTGAAAACGTCGCACCGCTTTGAGTAACATCGGGGCCGGCTCAAGGTACCGGCAACTCTTGGCACTTGCCCGGGGCGCCATGGGGTTTAGGGCGCCATCAGTGATCTTCCGAAAAATGGAAAAATTATTGCTTGTTGGCACCATGGAAGAACAATGGAAAGTGCAATAAAATGAGTTGCTGATCTAAAGGTTAAAAGAAAAATGTCATCGGTAGGCTAATCATTCATAATGTCCAAATACAAGTTAAGCAGAACACTATTATTATTCATTCTTTGTTTAAAAAACAACCTAGGTAATATACTTATTACTTTATCCCCAATATTTTCTGTGCACAAATTTATATGATTATACTTAAAAGGGCCGCCAAAGTTAAGCTTGCCCGGGGTGCCAGCAACCGTAGGGCCCGCCCAGCGTAACGTTCCTAGTTTTAGACTATGTTTTCGTACAACATAGCTTCTAAAAATGTATTTCCGAATTTATCTGGCAGTTAAAATTATTTCTAAACCTCTGCACAGACTTCCTTGGCGTAATGTATTTTAAGAAATTGCTAATTATTTTCTACTTTTAAGTGCGTTGAAACTCGTCTTTGATATAAAGTCTTTTTTTTTTAAAGCTTTTTTTCTAATCTCCTTTACAAAATTACATTTAAACCATAAGATTATTGTGGCTGAATAATTAACACATCCCTCTCCCCCCCTCACCCATACACACATATCCCTTCCACACACACATTTCCAAGGTCCTCTGCATAGGCATAAGCAATTGACACGCCTCTCTTAAGTGACCACCCCCCCCCCCCCCCTTTTTTTTTCCCCCGTTTCTTGACTGGCAGAGTCTTGCTCTGGTTTAACCCTGCATCCGGTTGTACAATGTTTCCTTATTTTAAGTACAAGAAAAACTCCTCGAGGTGCCTCCATCTCAACTCATTGGCCCGTTGGGTGGTCTCTCCAAAACATTGTTTGGAAAACTCATAATCGTTGTGGATGGGAGCATCTGTTTGGAATTTTACTGATCGGTATTTATTTTTAATTGTTATTAAACAAACAAAAAATCTTATTTAAAACAAAAGTTATGGGGGCAAAATTTTTCAATTCTATTTAAATAATAAAGAATCGACGGAGTTGAAAAAAAAAGTATTCTTATCGTTTGGTTTTGCAACAAATCATAAATTGTGACACTTTCTGACACCAAAGGAAGACTGGTGTACCATGTCACGAAGCATAAACTGCCGTACCAGGTCAGAAAAGATCAACTGCGTTAAAATCTTGTCTGAAATGGACGGTTGGCTCCATGGTGAGTTTTTTTTTTTTATTCTAACGATGCAGAGAAGATCAAAGGGGAAGAAAAAAAAGGTATATGCTCACTAGTGGTAAGCAAATCTGAAATATTATTCTTCTATATGATATTAATAGATGAATAAACAATCCCTGGGCAGTAGATCATCTGCTAATGAATTTCACTACATGTAATGTCAAGTTGAGCACTTACTATATGTGTAGCTATCCACCGTACTTGAAAGCTTTTAAACGAAACACTGTGTTAGTAATCACTTATAGTGTGAGAGATTTCAAACTCGATTGCTTGGCATATATTCAGAGCCGTCGCACGACTTTTGGAGGCCCCCCTGTCAATTTAAAGGTTTGTGCCCCAGTTATAGAAATTGTCTAATGCAGACTCTCGGTTACAGAAACTGTCCATTGCAGAGTCTCGGTTACAGAAACTGTCCATTGCAGACTCTCAGTTATAGAAACGGTCCAATGCAGACTCACGGTTATAGAAACTGTCCAGTGCAGACTCTCAGTTGTTGGAAACTGTCCAGTGCAGACTCTCGGTTATAAAAACTGTCCAGTGCAGACTCCCAATTATAGAAACTGTCCAGTGCAGTCTCTCGGTTATAGAAACTGTCCATAACAAAATTTGGGTATACATTTTAAATTATTGATGCCTGTTATAGCCTGTGTGTTGACCTAATTTTGTTCAACCTGCGTGGTATCGAGCCGTGGCATTGCATCCCTTAACTCTCACTTTGTTTTTGTTACTGACATCACCAACTAACTTTGGTGACGCGTGATGCCACTCCTTTCCCCCCCCCACAGCCCTTGATTGAGAAAGTTTGTTTCAGTAAGGGTCTATGTATATACAGAAAATACTTTCTGAAGATTGAATTTCTAGACTTTTTGTCCTGGAGGTTTCTGGTCCCCTCACGGTAAATAGGATGGTCGGCTGAGACCGGCAGACTTACGAGACCTTATAGGAGCCCTGTAAGACTTACAATATTTTTCACTGTGTGTGCGGATTAATACGGACACCTTTCTATTATTTTACCTTTTTTATTTGCTGTGCTGTAGGTTAATATAGTTGTGTTTTTCCAGTAAAATTTCATTTTGAATTTTTATATCAATTCAACGGCATAACTATATTTTTTATGTTTAATATCACTAGCTTTAGTACCGGGTATTACTTTTCTTTGCACATCAGTTTTCAGTCCTTCGTTGCGTATTGTTCATCTAATGAGCCAAATCTTAAAACAGATTAAATTGTTTTAACCACATAACGGTACGTAACAATGACAAGTCCAATATTTGTTTGCTTTTTATTTACTTTTTCCACACAAGTTTTACACTCAACCAGGCCAAGGACCACTTCACTTCTAGACCCTTCGGTTCGTGGAAATCTGACGTCAGATTAAAATGTTCAACTTGTGAGACACTCACAACACCACGACACTTGAACATTGAAGCATTGAAACACGCCCGTGAGTACACGCTGGATCAGGGGCGTCTATCCTATCTGAATGGTGGAAGCCAAATTCCCCCTCCCCCCCCCTTTTTTTTTTCTCTCCCTCTCCTGGACCTTGGTCAATTCCTCATGACATCTTATTTAATTTTTGAATTCACTTAGAAGATTTGTATTACACAATTTTCAGGTACAAAATATTTAGAACATTGTTGATTATTCAATAATAAAAATAGTGATTACAAACGACTTAAGTATCCCTAGTAGTAGCTCAATAATTCTTTGCATTATTCAGCAAATCTAAATTATCAAATCATGAAATAGTTCAATAAATAATTTTAAAAGCCGTATAATATTTTTTTTTAGTTCTTATTCTAAACAATTAGCGGCTTGGATGTTTGCCCCACTGGCGCTGTGGAATGTGGCTTGGATGGTTGCCCCACTGGCGCTGTGGAATGTGGCTTGGATGGTTGCCCCACTTGGCTCTGTGGAATGCGGCTTGGATGGTTGCCCCACTGGCTCTGTGGATTGCGGCAGGGATGGTTGCCCCACTGGCTCTGTGGACTTTGGCTTGGATGGTTGCCCCACTGGCTCTGCCAACTGCGGCTTCGATGGTTGCCTTACTGGCTCTGTGGACTGCCGCGTGGATGATTGTCCTACTGGCTCTGTGGACTGCCGCGTGGATGATTGTCCTACTGGCTCTGTGGACTGCCGCGTGGATGATTGTCCTACTGGCTCTGTGGACTGCCGCGTGGATGATTGTCCTGCTGGCTCTGTGGACTGCGGTCAAAATTGTTTCAATATCAAACTTTTGGTTTAATCCCTAGTGAAGTCAATTGAATGAGCCGCCCCCCCCCCCTCCAGTTTCACAATAACTTTTTTACCTGGAGAAATTCAAAATCCGTCAATCCGAGGTTTAGGGGGNCCCCCCCCCTTTTTTTTTTCCCCCCAAACCTGCGTAGACACCCCTGCATTGTACAATACACAATCAATGAATTAAAAAATATGTAAACAGACAGTAACAAATAGAGGAAATTATATTCAACGCAAATAGTGGATATCGTTTGCCTGCATGCAAGCATCAATCTCTGTTAAAAGATGGGTCTCTGTATTTTATATCTCTCCACGCTCATTTGGATTCTGACAGTTTCTTTGCTTTTATCACAGGTGAGTTGGCGTTTTTAAACTTTATCATTTAAACCAGGAGTGGGGAAACCTTAAGTCTCTGTTTGTGTGTGTGTGTCTGCGAGAGCGCAGAGAGCAGCAGTGAGATTTTTAAAATTAATTTTTGTGGAAGCGGACTTCATGATACTTGTAAAGGAATCCGAGTTCAGGAATCCGAGTTCAGTTCTAAAATGATTGCTACTTTTGTTGTATTTGTTCGTACTAGAGTTTGAAAATGATCACTGGAATTATTAAATAATCCAATAGTTTTACACATAATCATTAACATGGTGTACATTGTACGAAAGCATTAATCCTGTTCCCTGGTTGTCTTTTTTTTTTAGGTTTGGGGGGGGGGGGGGGGTTGGTTTTAAAGTTTCAGGGGAGCGTCACATGTTGCCCAAAACCTAATTAAAACTGTCCAGATAACGAAGCATATTTAAAATATTACGCTGTCAAGCAGATGCTGTATTCTGATACCAAGCAGATGCTGTATTATGATACCAAGCAGATGCTGTAGTCTGATACCAAGCAGATGCTGAATTCTGATACCAAGCGGATGCTGTATTCTGATACACAAGAACAAATGACCAATAGAGATCGCCGCCAATACACGTTTTTTATGTAAGCTCAGTCGAAACTTGACATAGAATTAACGAACACGATGTTCTGTTGCAGGCTAATGTCTTAATCACAGTCTGTATAATTATTTCAACTCTTGGGTTAATGAATAGAAATATGGAAACTCCAAACGTGTAAAATTCTTGTTAAGTCCAAGGCCCTTCAGTGAATCAAGTCCCGTATATACATACACCTACGTAGTCTTTCTCATAAATTGACCGTTGTTAAAATACTGTAGGTAGTCGTTTCTGTTATGTCCGGGTATCTCACACTGGGGCATCCTCATAGCTTGGGACGCTTGGGCATATTCTTAGCTTTGGGCGCTAGGGCATCCTAATAGCGTGGGGCACATGGCATCCTCATAGCTTGGGGCGCTGGGGCATCCTCATAGCTTGAGCCGCGGGGGTATACTCATAGCTTTGGACGATGGGGCATCGTCATAGCTTGAGCCGCTGGGGCATACTCATAGCTTTGGACGATGGGGCATCGTCATAGCTTGAGTCGCTGGGGCATCATCATAGCGTTTGACGCTAAGGCTTCTTCCTGTTGCAAGCAATTTGTTCAAATGTATAAAATAAATAATCTGACCAATTATTATCTGTTTCAGCGACACGTGACGGGGAAATCTCTAGATAAATACATCATAGACGGGGCGCCCAGAGCGGAAATGTTTGACTTTATTCACGTGATGCCCGAGGGCGAGGTCATGGTCATGACCGAGTTTGACCTGCTTCTCTCGCTCAATCAGTACAAACGTCTGCACACAAGAACGAACCGCACCAAGAGAAAAGCGCGCCGTGATTTAACGACTCGTTGGACCAACTGCGTCGTTCATTATGAGATAACGAAAACCATCAACTCGTCGTCCGATGTCAGGGTCATTGAAGACGCCATAGAGGAATGGGAGACTTACACTCGTCTGACTTTCAAAGAGAGCAACACGTCGCCCCAACGCATACAGTTCACGGATGGCGGTGGCTGCTATTCCATGCTTGGGATGCAAGACAAACCCCAGCCGGTCGTCCTGGCCCCCGGATGTCGTACGAAAGGCGTTGTGGTCCACGAGATTGGCCACGCGGTCGGCTGGATCCACGAGCACATGCGCCCAGACCGGGACGACTTTATCTTTGTTAATCTCAGCCTGATCCCGAGTTCCCAGTGGCAAAACTACAGGAAGTACGACACGGGTGAGATCGATCCTTACGGCGTGCGGTACGATTACCTCAGCATCATGCACTACGGTTCCACGCTACCGGGCTACATCACGACCTTAGATCGGGAGTATCAGGATCGGATTGGTCAGCGCCACGGACTCACGTTTAAAGACATCAAACTGGCCAACGTGATGTACGACTGCCCTGACGTCAAAGGATGTCCTAGAAAAAGTTGTCCCCATAACGGGTTTGTTTTTCATGAGCCTTTCAAAGGTGAGCCGAGATGTCAGTGCTGGTGCGACTCCGGTGACGTAGAGGATCCTCTTGTCCTGTGTTCTCTTATCGACCGAGAACCGCCGGGACCGAATCCCGTATCACGTGGTATTACCGCGTTACAGGACACGCCCTGCCAAGATGTTCGAGACGATTGTCAGGAGATGAAGGCGGACGGGAACTGCATGGCCCGCTTGGAGCTGATGATGAACTGGTGCTCTAAGACCTGCGGGTTTTGCGGGAAAGGAGAAGAACTGTGCATGGACCACGAGATGAGTTGTCACCTCCTGGCGGCGGCCGGCCAGTGCATGGACGAAGGCTTGCGGTCCACGATGATAAGTTTGTGTCCGGCCTCGTGTGGGCTTTGCGGGGCTGTCACTGATCCTTGCGCCATTCAAAATGAGCTCCTGGGGTCAAGACTTCTAAGTACAACTAAAAACTCGTCAAGGTTTCTAACTGTGATACCGATGTTTAATTTATTAATGCTGTCGTTGTTTTTGTTGGTGTTTATGTTTAAGTTTCTTTTTATTGGGCACTAATTGAAGCCGTATATTTTGTTTAAAAGTTATTTTCTCATTCTTTTCCAAACCACAGTTTATTATTTTATTTTTTTTATTATTTTTTTTTTTTTGAAGACTTAGCATTATATAAAGTGGTCTGCATACAACCGAAACACTAAAATATTAGCTTGCGACCCTCTCTAAAATGGAGGAAGGATATAAAAATGACAAGTGCGGACTTATTTTATATGTCATAGACTACGCCAGTGGCGTTGCTAGGTGGGTGTGGGGATGTCGGCCGCAGTGTGACGCCCTCACAAGGGAGTGACACCATATTTTAGATTTTTGTTAAATTCCACGGTGTTCGCTCGAGTCCTTGTTCTAACCGAACGTACTTAATAAACGAAATCAAGCCATCGCAAAAACAACATTTTTCGTATAAAAACTTTATAAGCATTTTTCTTTAAATCGAAGTGGCTATTCGTACCCGGGTACCAGAAGTGAGAGTTTGGGATTAAAAACTATTTAAAATATTATTGTTGTGTTTGTAAGACAAAAATGAGGTATCAAATGAAAGATAATTGAATGGACTTTATGTTTGTAAACCTACTTCTTCAGTTCAACTAAAATAAACTACCACAAATGACATCCGAATAGCACTGAGTCGAAATGGACCCAGACACGCAGCGCCGCCATTCGCACCCGGGTACCATTGCTCAAACTATTCGGATGTTCTTGGGTGACTCCATGAGTTCCCCGCACTGGTTGACACCACCCCTAGTGACGCCACTGGATTGGGGTGCACGGTAAAACACGGGGGATTTTAAAAAAAACAACACACAAAAGCATTTTCGTCATTTACTATAATAAAATCAACCTGTCGTCAAATATTTTAATATAGTTTTTAGTTTTTTCATGTATGTATATATATTCACCTCCCCCCCCCCCACCCCCGTTAAATATTATGTTTGGGATGGGGTTAGAAAGTGCTTTAGTGACGTTTGCATTCTATCAGAGATGTGGTCAAACGGTGGAATGTGCTAGAGAACACGTTAAGAAGTGGTATATAAAAATTACAATTCAAGGTGCTGTGCGGGTGACATGAGGGGGGAGGGGAGGGGAGGGGATGAAATGAATGTGGATGAAAATTTGATTGATGGCTTCCATTTGCTCTCCCCCCCCCCCAACTTGACCTTGGGTAGGCTGGCGCGGTTGATAGCTCCTACGTTACCTTACAGCAAAACGGAGTTCATTGTGAACAAAATACAAATGTGGAACATTTAGAGTTAGAGCAACTCAGCGCCCCGCCCACCTATTAAACACCAGGGTTTCTTCCAGCTATATCTCCGGGGGGGGGGGCAGTGGGAAAGCCAAGTGCCCCCCGGAGGAAAACTATTGCCAACAATAAATCAACTGGAACTGCTGGCACCCAGCAGCGGATAACATGATATCCACCGGGCTTGTTAGTACATGAGTCAATGTGATTTCCTGAGATTCTTTGCAGCAGTTTAAATTATATAAACAAACAACGACCAAAAAAAGTTTTTTTTTAAAAACGGAAAAGTTACCAAAGAGAATATACGTACGTTCCTGAGACGTTTCTTAGTGAAAATTGATTTAGTGTTAGCATTCTTACTTGATAAACCTGCAAATTTGATGAACCAGAAATGTATCTGTTTCGAAAACGATTAATATCTGCCCCATATCTCTGAGCATACACATTTTGAAAAAGATGATGCAGTTGGTGCATACATTTGCGCACCTTTACTTATGGTAATGCCGCTTGGAGAGGAGAATCCCCCAAAGTGCGCCCCTATTACACACATCATTTACAAAACATTATTTATAAACCCCAAAAAAAGTCCCGCCCCTGACGGCCGCCCCCCTTCGCTTCCTTTAGGTACTCCATATGATTCACAGTCAAAACAAGACGAAGTTAGTTATCCGAATGTTCAAAGAATTGTTTCTCGCCGATATTTCGGCTCAGCTCTGGGTGACTGGGGCAACTTTACAGATTAGCTGGTTGTCTGCTAAAAGACAGAAAAAACATTCAGTTGTTGAGACTGTTGAAATATATTAATTCTTTATGAGCGGAATTTAAAAAAACAACCGAAAAAAACAACAACAAAAAACGATGACATCATGAAAGCAAATATCTTACCTTCAGATTTCTCAACAGATTGCAACAGAAAGGGTTGAAATTATTTTCGTTAACATATTTGAGGTTTTTTTTTTTTTCCTTTCTTTAAAAATGTACTTTTATATGGTTTCAGTATTATCGCCAGTGGAACTTTTAATAAAAAGTATTATTAAGGTTAAGTTAGAGCCAGAAGATAAATAGAAAAATAATCATATAGGTATGTTTAAAAAATACAATACGTGAAATTAAACAAATATGATTGAACATTTTTTTTGAACGAAACATTGATTTGAAAAACATAATATCCGCAGAAGAACGCTGATATATTGAAATGAATAGTCTGCTGATGGGGGACAATGGCTTGCCAGATTTCTGACTCGATCATTCACCAAAAATCTTCTTTTTCTTTTTTCAAAAGTGATGGATGGTGTAATATAATTAAATTGTAAACTCACAGTGGGTGGGGGGGTGGGGGTGGAGGCGCCTGGAAAATGAAAGTTGACCAAGTTGATATTATAGCTGATCATAGTTACATTCAAGAACAGGGTGTCCCACCAGAGCAGTGTGCCAAGCAAGGTGCCCCACCAGAGCAGTGTGGCAAGCAGGCTGTCCTAACACAGCAGTGTGCCAAACAGGGTGTCGACGTATCTGCAGGGTGCCATCAGAAACGTGTGTCCCTATAAGGTATGGGGCAATTAAAATTAAAGCAAGGTGCTACTAGAAATGTGTCCCATCAGATCAGGGTGTCAGGTGCTGCTCAGAGCAAAAACCATTGCTATACTGACTGCAATCAAGATTCTCTTAGTCACGTGATTCCCGTAAATTACTCACGTTATTTAGGTTTTCGGTGATGCTTTCATTTCAAAACAATTATTGTGAACCTATTTTAAAGCAAATTAGTACAGGATAACATATCAAAAGATAAAAATATAAAAGTATTTTTTTTAAAACATACCGCTATAATAACGTTTAAAAAACGAATCAATTTGAATACGTTCGGATTCTTCAGAAGAATGTTAGGGATGTCAATTTAAATTTGATAAAAATAAAATATATATTCTTAGATTCAATTATATGTTTAAGTATCATTATTATAAATTGGAAATACATTTAAAATAACATAATTAAAGGCTATTCGAAGTAATTTATTTTATCCGAATTTGAGAGCAAAGATATTCTCTTTATTATCAATAAATTATCGACTCAACACTATTATTAAATTTACATAATGACATTCATCGGGAAAACCCAAACATTTTGTTTCGTTTTTTAATCGCATTTTTAATACTGCCAAAATTTAATTTAATAAAGTGCCTATTCACACCAGGGTGACAAAAGTGAGAGGATGGGATTTAAAAAAAAAAAACTATTTAAAATATTATTGTTGGGTTAGTAAGACAATATTTATTGTTCGTGATCGTTCTTTCCACGTACTTTGAAAATATTTGCACTAGAGACCGACCGAAAGTGATTTTCTGATTTCGGCCGAAGCCGAAAATAGGCCGAAAGTTTAAAATGACTTTCCGCCGAAACCGAAAAAAGGCCGAAAGTTTAAAAATGACTTTCGGCCGAAACCGATTTTTTCCCGCCTACATTCTGCTTACATCGAAAATGATGTGGGAAAATATAAATATTTACATTCTTTTTATAAAAATGAGATAATCGTAAATATTAATAAATAAAAATCTAATTTAGGGTTCTCAAACTCGCAGCCAGCGAGCCATTTGTGACCCGCAAGACGATATTTTGCGGTCCGCTACATGACAGAAAAGTTTAGTGTAAATTCGCCGGCCCGTTTCCCCAATTATCATATATATAACGTGACTCTCCGCGACGGTTTCAGTCGAATCTCACCGACTAATCTAATTCTGATTTTTTTTTTTTAATGTCTCTATATATTTGTATGCCAGCTCTCTGGCAACAGTGAGTAGGTGGATGAAAGTGAATCCTAGTCCTTGAGAACCCTTAATGATTTTTTTGTTATTTAAAAAGGTTGACCAGATTGTAACAGTTGTAATCGCTTTTTTGTGGATTACTTGATGCGGCCCACTCTCATTCAGACACTACCTCCTGCGCGCCCCCCCCCCCCCTACTTTGACTTTGATTCCCTTGA